GTGATGGTGGTAATAATAATAGTTACTGTGAAGGCGGGGGGGGGGGGAGGAGGAGGAGGCTGTGGTAGTTAGTGTCGACGTTACCAACAGACGCGATGGCGGTAGTGGTGGCCACTGCAGTGGCGACGGCGGCTGTAGTGGTAGCGATGAGACAATAGCGGGGTAGCAGATGAAAGGGGGGGAGAATGACTACGAAGATGTGGTGAGGGTGCCGAGGAGGGAGATGGCAGCGACGAACTGGGCGCACTACCCTTCTGGAGCCAACCCTTTGTTACATCAGCTGGGCGATGTAAACCACCAGCAGATTGCAGCACAGTTCCCTCGCTTACGTGACCGCGGCAGTAAAGCTGAGACGCATCAAATTGATACTTATCGGAAGAATCGGAATATAAACTCAACTTGTGGAGTCTCTCGGCCCTCTCATGCACGAGAATATTAAAAGTTTAATTTAGAAACCGAAGCGTAAAGCATATTTTGGCGCAAAGACCGCAAGCCATTGCGATACCCAAGATGTCCATGAATGAACGGAATAATTTTGAAAGGTGATATATGATCATAAGGAGGGGGCCACCATGTCACAGGACACAAGCAAACATAATTGCAAGCATAATTGCGTTATTCGACCTCGCGATTTTTCTAATCGGGACTTTAACACGCGTACGTCTTAGCTATCTCGGCTCTCCAGATCGGCTGACATCGGATAAATTACTTTTTATTGTTATGAATTAGAAGTTGAGATATGTAATATGTGTATTTTGTACTCATTATTTAATATCTGCTTGAAATGTATTTGACTGAAAATACCCAACAGCATACATAACACCAAGTGCATTAAATTGGTGCATTTTTGTCGCGTTTATTGCATAAAATAATAAACGTTTCACTTAAGCTACGTGAATACGTATTTTGAATCGTCTCATCAGCTACCATGAATACATATTTTGGTTTAATCATAATGCAAGTTTGAGTCCAAATTATGTAACAAAATAAAATTTGCATTTTAAAAAAATTGAGTGGAAATGTGCATTAAAAATAAAAAAAATTGTGTACATTCATTGGGTGGGAGAATGATTACAAACATAATTAATTCAAAGTGAACTGCCGTTTGATTGTCACATAACCAAACCAAGACATCGCTTTGAATTCGTTAATTACACGTTGGCAAAACTGCCCCTTCTCCATCGTATTTAAGGATAGGTTAATTTAACCTGTCAGTTCCTTCGAACAATTCCCATTGCTTCAGATAAAGTACACTTCACATGAAGAACTACCAATTAGCATTTTACATAGGATATAGAAATTTAGAAGAGATCAAGTGAATTACTGTACCTGACTGTATGGAATTGAATCCATACATTATAGAGGCAAACGGTGAAAGGATTTTAAAAGCTCACTCGAAAACCGTGATTCGAGAAGATTGTATCTGTATGAACTTTCCGTTTGGGATCAAAGTGTCGCGTGTGTTATATAGCAAGTAGAGCAGAAAATGACGATGAGTACTGCGAATATAGAAGTAGCGGTTTTTTGTAGTCAAGCACAAGTGTTCTTGTTTAGAAAATCATAAGGACAATCCATTCCACCAGTCAATTCAGCATAAGGTTAATATACATATTCTCCACTAATCAGTCACTTTACAAGAATAAATTCTTAAAAGTTGGTAAATCATAATACAACACTAGAACATTAGAAAATGAAGTATCTAGTGTAATTTCTTCGTATTTGTGAATTTCAGCACAAATCATTTTGACCGCATGGCGATTATCCTCAACTAATATGAAATAAAATTTTACTGTAATTACTATGTTTGTTTGTACTGTTGTCTAATGATGGGGTAGTTGATGACGTATTTGTTACAGAGCTAACTTAAATAAATAAAATAAAAGAATTTAAAAAAATGTAACTACAAATTGTACAATGGGAAGAAATTAATATAATAAAATTAACAACATAAAATGAATGACTCTGACGTGAGATATTTTGAATAGTTGTTATAAAGTTTAAAATGTAAATTTTTGAACTGATATAAAAATGAGAATGAAATGTTTGAGTATAATAATGCAGAAAATCGTAAAATTAGTCATAAATAAATTACATTTTAAATTTCGTATTATGAAATTAATAAAGATGAGTTAACTTGCATACTAATTCTGCATCGGTTGCAGGTCCGCCTGAGAAAAACGGCCCTTTTGCCTTCTACACCTTGCAACATTATCGATTTTACTTTGTCCCAATCATTTTCTTATTTCATTGTAGCAATGACAATAACCCCAATGCGGCCGAAAAGCTTACGTTGAAGGAGAAAATGACGAAACTACGCTTGATATTTACTGTTTTATTGTCGAGAATATTATTGACCACACATAACTTTCTGCTAAAACAAGTATTATTTCATCTGCCGATCTCTATTTTTCAACGTACCTACATACGAACACTACCACAGTGACAATGTGTCAAAGTTTTTAAAATGCTTTTGATGTAGTCATTTCTCATTCGTTGAAATTAAATCCATTAATAATTGCAAATAACAACTCTCTCGCAAATTAGAACTTGTGAAGTCGGAAACGGTGAATCATAGGCACACCAAACATGTTCAGAGGCTCCTCGAGATACGTTCTTGACAGTACAATCTTCAAAACAGGAAGTTTCAAATCTTCCATTAAATTTTTAATTGTTAGCTCTTCTGGATACTTCACGGGTAGTCAGATATTTACAGAATCTAGTTTTCAATGTCATCTTTTTTCGTTGGGGTTTACCTGCCTTCAAAAATCCAGAACCCTCAGTCGATTAGAACCAGCGTTCTCGCAGGTTGGAAACCAGAACGCTAACCACCCACCCACTGATTTGCAGAGTTCGTACCATCTTCAATAGAAAACCGTATCAATATTTTTGGAGATCACATATCTAAAGATGGAAGATCCTATTTAGACAATATCCATTCTAGGACATTGTATACAAAACACAGGAAAAAACAAATACATCTTAAACACATTGCTTGAACTATCTGGAAATCGATAATGTTCCAAGATGTAGAATGTGACAGTCTTAAAAAGAGAATATGAGAAATGAGTCTAGAAAAAATAATATTTGAGAAGAAGACATATTATATCCACACATCTAAGGAATTTTGAATCAAATTTATATTCTGCCCACATTAATTTTTCAGTCGTTGAGCAATCACAATGTTAGCTTTCATTCTGGACATAATAGATTGTCTTCTCGCTCCAAATGTCACAACAGCATTTTTCCTTTTTTTTTGAAAAATATATAAATAAAGTAATAAAATAAAGTATTAAAATCAGCTGATACTAAAATCTTTAAAATATTTGATCTCTTTGTCTATGACGCTTGCATATCGCAAACGCTCTCATTAATATAATTTAATGAAAATTCAATTCGCCAGGGGACGCCCATGCTTGGGAAATGCGGGACACGCCTTGCAATGTTTTTCTTGTTTGTTGATCAATAAAAAGCAAAGTAACGCACGTTAAAGAAGCCCTTTGGGGTATTAAATTATCTTCCCCCAACATTTCTTCTTTATGATGAACGTTTGCACATTTATTTCGCCTCGATGGATTTCGTCTCTCAGACCAGCGCCTTTGTAAGGCGCTCGCTTCTCTTATTTATCAAACGTTGTGCCTTTTTTCACGATTTTGTCGTACAATAATGAATAGTAAAGTTTCTAGGTGCTAAATCTTTACCATTTAATCGACATGTACTAATTTTAATTTTTTTAAGGATCAATAAATAAATAAAAACGGTAAATATATAAATTATAAAATATGAATAAATGAAATGGCTATCGGCACTTTCTCTTGTTAGTTCTAGAAAGTTGTAAAGTGGGTGAAGCTCTGACTGTCACTGTGAGAGAATGAGCTTTGGGGAATGATCACACTAATCATTATACCATATCTAATATAAAAGAATTTTAGGAACGTTTATATTACAGTTTTGTAAATTTATTCATATGTAATATTCATTATAAATAATGAAGTGTCTATTTTAATGTTTTAAAGCGTTTAATATTTTAATATTGTGTAGTTGTGTGGTTTCCTTACTATGCTGTTCTTTCACAGACCGATGAAGCAATAATTCATTCCGAAACGTTCCAGTATTTTTTTTTCTTCATTTCCTTAACCAACACACCCTTGATATTATTTCCCGACATGTAGATTTAAAGAGATTTTCATAATTCAATAAATACTCATATACATTATAAAATGAGCCTTTTGAATCGACCGACCACCAGGAATTTACCTAGTTAATTGTATTCATGATGTTGAATAGTGGTGATGTGTAAGTCTATGGTAAGATTGCGTAAGTTCTTATTCTCGTACATGTGAGAGATAAGTTGATATTAAATCCTGTATGATTATTGTTTTATATTTTTGTTCCTACGTAATGATCATTATAAATATTCTATGTATATTAATTTTTGAGTGCTTATTGTTTTATAACTGTGTTGTTATATTTGATAGAAGATTGTGTAATCCTTTGTACATAGACATGATGAAGAACTAGTACATTTAGAAACGTTGTCCTACCAATTTTTTTTCAGTCCCCTGCCCAACATTGAATCCTCTACATAAAAATATTAAATTATAAACCCTTTTAGAGTATTAAGTTATCTCCCTCTGCATCTCTTGTTTATGGCGAACGCCTGCACATTTATTTCGTTTGGTGCCGGGGCCTTTGTAAGGCGAGACACTCTTTACTCGAGAGGCTGTACGCGCTTCGCTTATTACGACTGGCGACGCGGCCTCCTATTGATTGGGGCCCGTGCGGCGCTCGCGCTCTTTGAGGCTCGAGTTAATGGCGGAGGAGCTTTTCAATTTAAGTGATTTGCGTGTAACGAAAGGCAAGCGGCGGCTGACGCGCCTTCTTTTGTGTTTCAGGTGAGCCGACGATGGCAGCGACGATGGAATGAGAACGGAGATGGCGTGCCCCAATAATTGGTATCGTTCAAGTCTTATAACTGAGTTTATGAGTGCAGATGTTTTTAGAAAGGTTGAGAGTTTTTATGTTTTTTCGATTCAACTGGCTTTGCCGAATGTTGTATTTTTTCGCCCCTATGTAAAAGATTCTTAGTGTGATGAAGTGATTTTTTATTTTTTTTATATTGAACTACCAGATCGGCAACCGTAAATTTTCGAGAACTAGATCATATAATTTCCTATTTTGGTAGAACATGCCAAATCTGTATTACAAGCTCTCCAAAAGCGACACTGGAATATCATTCTGGAAGAGAATTTGGAAATATTAGAAAATATTCTACTTTCCTTTAGTCGTATCTTTGTATTATTCATGTTAAGAACTATTATACGTACTTTAGTCTGTTCGGTCGGAGTAGATGAATTGAGTCAGAAACATTAAAATAGACGGTATACAAGGGTAACTCACGAAGGATAAACACCATAATTTGCGTTAATTCAAGTTGAGATTTTTGTTTCATTTTTATACTCAATATTTTTCATATATAAATCCTGGATTATTTATTTAACACTTTAATATGAAGTGTTATTTTTTAACAACAAAAAATGAGGTTCCAAAATGTTTTCCGATACATCTTCACTATTATGTATTTAGGAAATAAGTAATAATCAATAATTTAATTCATCAAATCCCCACTTCTTCGACTGACCAGGCCTGGCTATGGAAATAAATCTAATACATCAAATGTAGGCACCATGCATTTTCACTTGTATACTGCCGATATCTCAGGTAATTAATGAAACAAATCGATGAAAGCTTGATTCTAATAATTTTTTGGGATAGTCTATTAATTTCTAGGTTAATACAAGATAAACATATATAAGTTTCTGAAGTACTGTGTAATGGACAGCAGAACATAACTAAAGTCCTTCTCTGCCATCTACGTGTTTCTGCTACTCAGATACTCTGCTACTCAGAACTCCCTCTTCTGATACTCATGTTCTAAATATCAAGAAGGACTATTTTTGTAACCATTATAGTATATAGTATGTGTTTACAACGGGGAGTTCAAAATAAGGGAAACAAATAATTTTATCTTAACCAATTTATAATGTGAATGCGGTAATTTTAATATTGAAAGACTTCATTAGAAAAAAGAGCAAAAATGGGATTGTAATGAGGTGACTTACCAGTTTAACTGGCTAGAAAACATCTGCGCTCTCTGAAACCATTTTACAGCTTAGTGGAGATTCCACCTGCTACAGAAGCCAATGCAAATAAGAACGTCAATGGAAAACGTGCGGTGGCTAGCATTTTGCGGCAGGGATTAATTAAAGTGAACAAGTGAACAAATCTGAACTAAATGCGCAAAATGTGTACGTCTCTAATATTCTCAGAATTATTTAAAGTGAAAATTCATGTAATCAGTGGTTTGAAATCGTGTATAATTAGAATTATAAAACGAAAAAGTAGAGCATTTAAAATTTCTACATTGCGTTTTCAAATGTGAATGATTTAATGGTCCATCTCAAGTAGTGTTCTTAATATCAGGTTCTTATATTTTGGATACGTTCTTTCAATTACATAGCCCATGTTATTATCCATTATTTCCAAAAATAAATCATATGTTTGAAGTTGATGAATATTTATTTCGAAATTGCCTTCAAATATATATTTTCAAAATGCAATAATTGTAAAATAGTAACCAAGACGATTATTCTAACCAGTTCCGCTTATATTAGGTTTTAGCATTAGAGTATTGGGTACTTATTCTAAGAACTCTCGTATCTATATTTTTCTCTTGCTCAAGATCGCTGTCAGTCAACATCTTCGTCCAATAATTTAATTTTTCCAAATACCTTTCACGAATAATCTATTTACAGATGGACCGACTTGACTCGACATAGAACATCATCATTCTGGTCATTAATGCTTCACTTCCTTGGCATTTCCTCTTGCTGATATTCTTTAAAAAAATTCTGAATATTCTTTAAATACATTTCTGTGTTATTTTCACCACTTCTATTCTTAATTCTAACTCAATAAGATACTATTCATATAATAAACAAATTTCTTAATTGATCTACAATAGTAAAAATCAATGATAGATATTTTAAATAATTTTATTGATTTTAATGATAAATTTTATTGATGAGTTTTACACTGTAACCAATTCTAATCTAATCTGGCCTAACTCTCATGACTTGAATGTAGAATCTTCTAGTGAACGAATATTTAAATTCTGGAAATTGTTGGTATGCTGGAGTTTTTATATATTAGGATTTTGAGGATGTTTTATACATGCTACCAATATAGGTCGTGTATATCTTAATCGTCCGAAGGAGAATTCAGATAGCCGGTTGCTTTGATCGCCAGTTTTCCATTATTTCTCCGATCACTTTTAGGAAAATACCAGAGCTCTACTCTAGCAAGCGGGTCATTAGCCGCGCGTGATTTTTTCGTATTCATCGTTATCTCCTCCACTCCTCCCTTACACGCGTGCGCACACCCACATACAGTTGAATACAATACATTACCACACACATCAGGAAACCAGAAGGGAGCTTAGAGCTTATCCCGGCTTGTGCTCTGAGGGAAGAGATATCTGGATGCGGGAAAGCATCAGAGTGAAGTGTAGTCGGTGCTGGATTTCATGCTCCTGATGGGGTGGGACACCTCTACTCCAGGCGTTTAGTTGTTCAAGACTCGCAGTTACATGCGCCAACACTCGCTGCAGTAACTAACATACCGGGAAATGAAATACTGACTCACTCATCCGTTCACTCACTCAACTCTGCTCTCCAAATCGCCCCTTTCGCAACCTTCATATCGGCGGGGACTCTCAACAGCCCATCCTCTCTCGCTCGGTGGACCGCCTCGCCGGCCACCCGAAATTCACTTGCTCGCGCAGCAGCCGCGATCTGCTCGCAGAGTATTTAATTCGCTCGGAGGTCCGCAAGCAAATGTGGCCAAACGCGGCTGGTAGTCGAGACCCGTCTCCCATTAACACTTTCCTCCGTTCGTCTAATTGGATTAGGGGAATTACGGTTTCGAAACGAGCCACGCGTTTTTTGCGGGTCGAAATTGTTTTTAAAACTCCCCAAACTCACTGCGGTTAATTCTGTTTTGCGAGGCGATTTGAATGTGAGCGTGCTTATTCCGTGGGTAATGAATGTCAGGAAACGGGATTTTAGGAGAATGTGAAAAAGTGGGAAGTGTGTGGTAGAAATCTAGAAAGTTGGAAAGTGGTTTAATCTCCAGCTTACCTTACATTCATATCGCCACTTACGTGCTACTTACACTTTTGCCATGCTTTCTCTTTAAATTTGATCTCTAAATATTTGTTTCCTTTTAGCTACCTGTTTAGTAATTTAGTAAAATGCGTTTATTAATAAATAATAACTATTTTATGTACGTTGACAATTATGGTGTTATATCTTTGACAAATAAATATGGATGCATAATAATTGTACATTTTTAAATTACCTAATTTATCCAAAATATCAAACAAACGGAATCATAACATCGCTATCTGCCATTATTTTTTTTCAATATGTCCCCAAATGTCCCCAAATATAGAATTTTATCGGAAGAACTAAAATATAACTTATAACAATCTGGTCATTTATATCTTTTCAATCTAGTCCTTCCTGGAATACGTATAATTACTGGTATCATCGAAACAATTTTTTTCTATAATGAATGAATCTAAATGAAACAATGTGAATTTAGTTTTATTTTCTGAAGATGTTCAGCTTAAAGAACTATTCACATCAACATGCCGCACTCGTATTTCCTCGCATGCCTTCTTGCATTACTCCACTAGTCCTCATCGCCGTTTCCGACGCCAACCGCCCCGCCCTTCCCAAAACCCGTTAAGCGGTCTATTCGGTTTGCGTCGTCCCACCCTAATCTGATGTGCAGTCCACACACCATCTCTAATTTCCTTCACTCCCTCCTATCTTTTTCCCCTATCCGGTCACATCGCCTTGGTCCGTATAGCTTATTACTTTCACTTAGTATACTCGATCAGCTCTTTGAGACCGTCCCTCCTACCTCTCCTCATCTAACTGACCTTTCAATAGCCCGTCCACCTACCGCAACTCGTTTTTCCCACCCACCCACAATCTCCTCCGTCTTGCTTTAGCCCATCCCTCGCAGTGCCCCGGTCAACCACTCATGCTCCTATTCCTGCTCACCTCACTCTGGCCAGCCAATTTTTTTGCCGGAGGATTCCATCTCGCCTTGGTCTACCAATCCACTTCGTCTTGTCCATCTCTAAGCTTGTCTCTCCACATCCTGTCCACTCGTGTAGTTTTTTCTCTAACCACCTCAGTCGGCCTTTCCTACGTGTCTTCATCCAGTCCGTCGTCTCGCCTTGCGCCTCCTTCTCAGGCAGCTTTGACTCTCCCTCCTTCCTCATGTCGCCTTCTGCGCCCGCTCACGCCGTGTTGCGTGTTTGGCAACTTGCCCCTCCCACTCAACCTAAACAGTACCCGCCTGTCTCACCCTGTCCATCTCATACGATCTCGTTTTAATGTGGCAACCAACTCCTATTCTTTGCCACTCCTAAAAATCTCACATTGATCGGCTGCTCAATTCACCTTACCCATCTCACCTCATCTTATCCAAACTGCTAATCTTTCCTTCCGTTCTTTCGTACCATCCGGCACAGAACCACCCTCCTGACTCATTTGGCGTCTCGTACAGGTTCTTATAACTCTCATATAAAGTGGTGAAAAACGTACGTGGCTGCTGCGTGAGTTAGCGTGCCACAAGCAGGCCCATAACGTTAAAAAAGATAGCGCTGATGTTTGCGATTTTTTCAAGGGTTTCTTATATATGTATATTATAAATAATTGATCACGTAAAAGACACTTTCCTATTTCTCACAAATTAGCCCATTTTTATATGTGGAAGTTGGCGACCCCAACCTGCAGCTGTACCTGGCGACACTAGCGCCTCCTAGAGTAGCACCCTCGAGCTTGGACCCCTGTTTTGATGGAGAGTTGCAAGGCCCTGGTCTCCCTCACTTACACCCCACATCGTCTTACTCAGGCCACCCGTTTTCTTTGCCCTC